CACCCTTTTATCTTCCACTCCTCTTGTTCTCCTGTACTCCCTCCATCCCTACATATAAAAAATTTTTTAAAACTTTTTTTATTTCTAAATATAAGAAATTGTCAGCATATTTTTCAATGAATGAATCATTATATTCTTATTAAATTAAAAAAAAGATAAATACTTTTATCAATTTACTTTGAAAAAAGATATTCATTTTTTATTTATAATAATTCGAGGTAAAATTGAAATGTTGTTGTATTTTTAATTAAATAATTAACTTTTATTGATTTACGTGATTCAGTTAAAAATATTTTATATATAAAGACAGAAGGAATACTATTGCAACATTGTTTTCTGGTATAAAAAAATTAAAATTCATTAATTTTATCTAAAAATTAAATAAGCTTTTAACTTTATCTCTATTAAATATAAATATATTAATAATATAATATTTTTTTAATATTTAATGGAGGATAAAAGAAAAAAATTAATTCTTTTTCTAATCTGCAATAAAGAAGATGATTTCAAAATTTGATTAAATTTTCAATCATGGATGAGAAAACATTTTTAATTTTTTTCCTATTTATGTACAAGCGTTTTTTTAGTCATATTTTGCATTTCTATAATAAAAAAGTGTCCTTGTAGATCTCAACTGCTCACCTAATTTATTACAAAAATATTATTTTTATTTATAATTTGTATAAGCACATATTTAAATCTAATGCAGTAATTTCATTTTTCATATTTCATATTTTAATTAATCCAAGTAATTGATTATGAATTTATTGCCCCATTGTAACAATCACAATGTATAAACTTTCTATGCAATGTACGAGGAGTATAAATTAATTGTAATTAAAAGGGAAAAAGAAGTTTAGAACAAAGTGAATGATAAATATTGACAAATTCAATGTTAGGAAGTCCAATCAATCCAATTAAATTAAATATTATCAATCCAATCCAAGCCTTTGTTTATTCATGGATAATTATGTGTTGTTGTTTTTTTTTTTGAAAAGTTAAAAAATATGAAAGTTTTGAGGATTTTGTTACATGATATTGAGAACAAACGTGATTTTGTTACATGATATTGAGAACAAACGTAAGTCTACCACTATAAATTATATATAAACGTAGTTTATATAGAGGTGTTTAATAATCTGAAAACAACTTATTCATGTATTATTCTATGTGGCATGATCGATGTGAGCATGTAATTGTTAGTTTTTTTTTTGGTATGAAATGAATAATTTTACAAATATTTATGTGATGTAATTTTTTTTTTAAAGTTAACGCTTCTCGTGCATCGCACCGGAAGTTCATGCTATTAAATATAATAAATAAGTTCCCTTGAATCGTTTCCTCTTTCTTCATAACAGTATTGCTTTAAATTTTACCATTAGTTCTGATGCTCTGACAGACTTGCGGAGTATGAAAAAGTTGAAGGAGAGCATGGGAGATTAGAATTTGTCAAATTTCTCGTGATGCAAATGTTGCTGCAGATCATTTGGCGAAACAAGCTCTTGATGCGTGGCCTGGATTGCACATTCTTAACTTTCCCACGGAGAGTCTTAGACGTTGCATGGATAGCACTTGTACTGTAAATGAGTCTAGAGTTTAGGCTCATCTATTTCGTATCAAAAAAAAAAAAGTTGAAGGATAATTTCAGATGTGTCGATCTTAATGGTAGGCAGAATTTTATTGACACTCAGCTCTCAACTTACAGTGAAGATGAGATCTTACTTATTGTGGATGGGGCGTTCTCTACTCAAACGCAGGTCACCAGCTGTGGCAGTGTGTTTCAAGATTATACATATTGGGAGAGGTTAGGTGCGTTCATGCTTGGTATGCAGGATTGGGATGCGTTAAAAGGGGAGGTTTTGGCATCCTTCATGGGTTTAAAAAATGCTTGGGACAAAGGCTATAGGAATATATGTCTTTGCTCTGATTCAAAGGAGGCTTTCCAATTGATTAAGGAAGCTGATGTCAAGCTTCATGCATACTGGAGCGAGAGCTTGGAAATACAAGAACTTAATCGTAACTGGATGATGCATCTGAAGTGTGTATGCCTCAGGAGTCTAATGTTGTGCTGACAATTTGGCCTAACGTATTCTCTCACGGGTAAAAGGTCTGTCCATTTTCTTTCGCTTCCCCCATATCAACTATTTATTATTGAAATCATTTATTGAAAATCATTTCAATAATAAATAGTTGATATGGGGAAAGTGGAGGAAAATGAAGAGAAAAAAATGAGGAGGTTCTTCTCTCTTCTCTCACTTGTACTTGTGTTCTAAAATTTAGAGTTATGAAATACTAATACTTCAAATTACATCCCATATTTGTATCATATTATATCTGATATTGATATATTTTTTTTTCTGTATGTATCTGTAGTGTATTGAAATATTATTTTTAAATTTTAAATATATATTCAATACTTTTAGATTGTGAGTCGATACTTTAAAGTTGATATTTTGGGACTATTTTTAAGAAATTAAATTTTATTGATTATTGTGATATTAATTTTTTTAAATATATTTTTTATTTACTTTTAAAGTCAAATATTGGATTTTTTTTAAAAAATAAGTTTTAGAGATAATAAAATTATAAAATTTATTATTTTTTAAAACATAACAATGTTGTAATATAATCTTTTGGCATATAAACCCTAAATATAGAATTATTAGCAGAGACTAGATAATAGACAATTAGATAGAGATAGAATAAAAATATAATTAATAATTATATTTTACTTGGTATTATTATAAAGAACTGCTCCCTACATTTAAAAATATAAAGTATTAAAAAATATAAGGTATTTTTAACTGAATTTCACCCCTCAATAAAGTAGACTTTCAAACTAACCCTATTTTTGTATATTTATCCTTATTAAACACTTTACAATAAATATAAAGTGATTATTAATAATGACACTTTTGAAAAAGAAATAAAATTACATCTCAAAAAATTAAAAATGCTTTATATTTTTAGTTATCCAATTCTTTAAAAAATATTTTATATTTTTGAACATATTATATTTTTGAACGGAGAGAATATATGCATATGCTAAGTTGAATATTTTTTAATATTTTTATAATTTTTACAAATATATTTACACAAATCGAAAACATATTGTATTCTATATTTTAAAATATAAAAGTATCGATATATCAATACGCGTATCAATATCTATACAATATAGATTTAAAGTCTAATGATTTGTCGCAATTGATTGGGAGAGAACTCCTAAGGAGCGTCCTTTGCTTTTCTTTGCTGTTTTTGTTTATTTTATCGTTCTTTTTTTTTTTTTCAATTTCCCCATGTATCCAAATATAAAAAATAAAAAAGAAATTTATGATAAACACATTACTGAGGTAATTTATAAATAAAACAAGAAAAAAAAAATTCTCTTCTTTCCTCATAAATAAGACGAAAGGGGCATTTGGCAGCAAGAATCTAGAAACTCCTCCGATCAATCAAAGGCATCGGAGCAACTCTTGTCACCCTGATTTTCTTTCATAAACTTTCAACCAAATGCATCTTAAAAATCAAAGACAAAAAAGGATTAAAAAAATGTAATAGTCGATATGTTAACTATATTTATGAAAAAAGGAGTAGTTTAATTTATAAAATTACAATTAATGATTCTTAAAGTTTGTGGTAATTGTGTTAATTCTCACATTTGTGTTGTATGGTATTGAATTTTATTATATTTGTCATAAGAGGAGAGGATATTATAATTAGTTTTTATTTTTATTTTTTTAATTCATTTTATTTCCATCATTTTTAGCAAGCAAACTACCATTAAATAATTTGCAATTTTGGTTCTCCAGTGTAGTTTCTCTTATATATAAATCAATGTTAATATGCATTGGTGGTAAATGAAAAGTTAATGATTTGGTACTTATAATTTTTCTTAATTGTAGCTCATTTTTTTATTTTAATTCAGTATAACTCAATTTTTAAATTTTAATTTAATACTGCTCAATTCTTATAATATCATTTGCCTGTTGGAAAGAAATTGAATGAATTAAAAAAATAAAGATAAATACAATGATCAAGACGTGAAGAAGAGATAATAAATCAACCATATTTATGACAGCAAATGAGTAGTTAAATTCATGATATTAGGAGCCATAATTCTTGAGATTTGTTGTGATTTTTATATTTGGAGTATGTGGGTATTAAGCCTTTTTTTTTCCCCTCATGTTTATCATAAATGATTGAATAATTTAATTTATTTTTATTTTTTTAATCTATTTTATTCAATTACGTGAACGGAATGTAATCCCAACCATATAAAACTTTGTCCTTGTTTTGAGAATAAACTTTATTTTCTATAATTTTATTTTTTTAAGGAGAATATCAATGAATGATTCCTAAAAGAATTTAATATTTTAGAAGAATTTTGAAAAGATCATGTACTTGTTAAAATAATAATTTTACTTATTATTTTGTTTAATGTTTTCTTGTTAGAAATATTTTTATGAAATTAAATTTCTTTTAGAGTCTTTTATTAATATTCTCCCTTTTTTAAAATATAGGAGCCAACATTTTAAATAATTAAAGTTTAGTAGTCAGTTCTACTAAATTAAAATTATAAAGATTGAATTCCATCAAATCAAAGTTTGACATCTAAGTTTTAATTAAATCAAAATTAATTAATTTTTCAATAGTAAATACTCCCTTCAATTTCTATTATAGAACACTTTTTAAAAGTGTTTTTTAATCCTTGATATAAAATACACTATGAGGGTATTAATTATACTTTTTAATATTACCTATTTTTAAACTAATTAACTATAACAGAAAATATAATGTAAATTTAAAATTTTTTATTTAAATAAAAATAAAATTAATAATACTTTTATTTTTAATTAAAATTAATAATTTAACTATCCTTCCATGATCCAGTAAATAGCTGAGGATATGTTACAAGTGAGACCGGGGAGAGCATACATTAAGTGGCCTTATTATCATGCGTTTATCTTTTGCACAGGTTTGTTCCAGTTTTATTCAATAAAAAATTGTGCTGTGTAAAGTGTAAACTAACTATCAAATTGAACTATTGATGATTGAAGTGCAATGGCAAAAAGTTCAGGTGATTGTAATTGTAAAACCCTAAAACCAAAACCCTCTCTGAGGCTGCAGCGAACTACGTTGTTGGTTACTGGGTAAGCTGAAACAGGAAGTCACCGTTACTGCCACTGCGTGCAATGTGGTTCGTCTTTCTCTGGTCGCAGAACAAGTCTGTTCTGAGAGCACACTCCCTATCCAAACAACGTCACCACCTGAATCAGCTAAGAAATTTTGTAGATGGCAGCGGCACCATCAAATTGGTCCGAGATCGTGGTCTGGACCATGCCGTTGAGAAGGAGAAGAACCTTCAGCCATTGATCAATCTCAAGAACTTCATCAAGGGTGAGCCTTCGAAGTCTACTCCCATCTCTGTTATTGCTGGGAACAGGGAGCGCCTTAAAATTCCTTATCGCCCCATCGACTTTATCCGACAATATCCTTCCTTCTTTGAGGAATTTCTTCCTGGTGGAATTGGGATTCACCCTCACATCCGGCTCACTCCTGAAGTCCTCAACCTCGATGCTGAAGAGCAGTTAATGTATCAGAGCGATAGCTATAAACAACAGGTTGCGGATAGGCTTTTGAAACTGTTGATGATATCAAGAATCCATAAAATCCCGTTACCAATCATTGAACACTTAAAATGGGATCTGGGTCTTCCACAGGATTATATTCAGAGTATAATCCCTGAGTTTCCTGATTATTTTCGGATTGTGGGTAGAAAAGATCACGCATTCGGTTCGGAGAATAAGCAGGCTCTAGAGTTGGTTTGTTGGAGCAATGAACTGGCAACTTCGGTTATGGAGAAGAAGGTGGTCATGAATGGGGAAATGAGTAATGCAGAGGGAAAACCAATAGCGTTCCCTCTGCAATTCTCTACGGGTTTTGAGATGGATAAAAAGTATAAGAAGTGGTTGAATGACTGGCAGAAGTTGCCATATATATCTCCATATGAAAATGCATCTCATCTTTTGCCCAAGAGTGATGAATCTGATAAGTGGGTCGTCGCTGTTTTGCATGAAATTCTTCATATTTTAGTTCCAAAAAAGACAGAGAAAGAAAATTTACTGCTTCTTGGAGAGTACCTGGGTCTCAGATCAAGATTTAAGAGAGCAATGCTTCAACACCCTGGTATATTCTATCTCTCGCATAAAATTGGAACCTACACAGTGGTTTTGAGAGAGGGTTACAAAAGGGGTTTTCTGATTGAGCGTCATCCACTGATGACTCTGAGAGGTCAGTATGTTCACCTCATAACTACCACTGTGGAAGATAGCGATACAGCTAAGGCACAGGGCAAAAGCACCCAACAAGAATCGAACGGCAAGAAGTTTGATAGAAAAGCAGAGGTTGTTGAGAACAGTGGAGAGGAGCACAAAGGGGAGATATGTGAGCCCTCCAATGCTGAAGTTGAAGAGGTTAGTGACACTGATGATGTTGATAACGATGAAGGGCACTCTCATAGGGGAAGTCATAAAACCTCCCCAAATGATAGAGCTGGAATAGTCCAGAAAGGAAAATCTTTGAGGAATTCTCGAAGAGAAAGTTCAGTTGAACGGATTCAACTTAAAACCATGAAAAAAGCTCCAAAAGAAGTTTCAAAAAGAGTGCAAATGCATGATAGACATAAAGATGTTGAGAGTTCACAACAGAGATCAAAATCACCTATAAGCAGGGCGAAGTTAACTAGCGAGAAAACCCCACTTAGTAAAAGAGGAAGAAGAAAATCTGTTCAGGAAGCTAACACATAGGCAGGTTAGCATTCTTGCCATTGATTCCCGTACTGTTGTAAGCTTGAAGTTTTTCTTTAAACATCATACCATGTCTTGCTATTTGATTCTCTGGTGTATCAACTCTTCTTTCTGAACTATATGACTATGCTATTAATCATATCTGTTATAGAATAGCAGCTTTTAATGATATCTTAACTGCTGGTATGATATGACTTAGAGATTGGGTTGTCTCAGTCAATATAGCAACAACATTGGCAATCTGATAATTTATTTCTTTGTTCCGCAATCAGAGAAGTTTGACTGGCAATGTTACTGCATTTAATTTATGTACTTTTTGCCAATATTTCTTAGAATGCAGGTTTAGAGTAATCTGATGTAGAAAGCTCAATTTATTTAGAGATCTGTTCAATTATGTTTAATTTATTATTTTCAGAATACAAGCAAGAGGCTTCTCAATAAAGCATTAAAAGGAGATTATAACTTACCTTGTAATCCTTAGAACATTACTTTCAATAATTTTGGCCTCCAAGATTTATGAAATTATCTTGTATACAAATATGGATGTGTTGATTATTAATGTTTACATATCTTAAGGCAATACAAGCAGAGTTGAGAATGGAAATGATGCATATAGTAGAATACAAACAAACTCAACAGCCTCCTTTTTTTTTCATTGAAAAAAAGAAAGAAAGAAAGACAGTTGTTTAGTTTGATTGCATTCTACTGATGTTTGTAAATGTTTGGATGAGATGCTACAAAATGATCTACCTTGTAATCCTTTTTTTTTTTGCTTTAATAGAGAATGTGATTATAAGATCTATCCAGGGTGACTTGTCTTGGCACATTTTCTATTATTTGAGTGTATCTTGGTGCATTTTCTATTATTTGAGTGTATCACACTGGTTGAGGTGACCAGGTTATTGGTCATTAATGTAGCCTAGTATTTTAATTTAGCAATAACATTTATTTTAAATTTATATGTTTAGTTTCATTTTGCTCGACTACTTTTATAGGGCAAATAGACTTATTTTAAGAGACATAATTGGTTATTGCTCAGGGCTTTTGATCTATCTAAAGGAAAGGAGGTTTGAAGCTTAGGATCAAATCTATAGCGCTCGAGAATTTTAGGAGAGAAAGTAATGGGCGAAAAAGATGCCAAACACTGCCAGAGAGTTTTCTTCTTGTCAAAAAACTGGTAAATGGTAATTCAAGTAACTCGTTCATTCACAGATGGTGTCTCCTCCATCGTTATTCAGTTCTTCATTTTTAATGATTTATCTACTAGGATATGTTGCTGATATCGGAGGTAATCAAACGCACTGATGTTGGGGATTTTTTTTACTCAATTAATGCAAATAGGACACATGCAATGTCATTATTAGAAATCCTATTACCAGAATCTAAGGGGAATAATGGGGAATACTACTGATGACATGTTGGAGTATGAACAAATTCATGGGATGAATGAGGAGAAATATTGAAGTGGAGTTAAAATAGCACATTGAGAGCCACAAGTGGTTGATTAAATAATTCCCAATTTTATCGACAAGCATCCATTTGGGGTTTCATTTTTTTTCCCCTGATCATGTATCTGTAGAAACTCTGATTCCAAGTTCTGAGCCTAATTAATTTTGCTGGTAGAAGTTGGTTCAGTTGGTGAAGATGTGATCTATACAACATAATGACATGAGTTCGAATGTAGCTATCAATATGAGGGTCTTACTGGTGAGTACTTCATAGGTACTTCTGTAAAAACTTTTTGAGCAATGTGCCCTACTCTAATTTTAATGAGCCTCTAGGATTCAGTTCATTTAAACTTCCAATCTCGCCTAAAAAATGAGAGAGAATCCTTAGCTTGGGTGATGACATGTAGGTTCTGGTCATGTGAGATGCTCCCTCGTATGGACCCTGCAGCACAATGTTCCTTGTTAGAGGTTATTGAATTTGAGACCTTATCTACCCTCTTGTAGTCTGAGACAATTCTGTTGTGCATTTCTTGTACCTGTACAATACTATTAGTGCTCAGTGTTCTGCCAAGAAGATATTTTTCCCAAATTCCAACAGTTTTTTTATGTATATTTTTGCTGTACCATTTTCTCAAAGATCGAATCCTCAGGGAAAATCTTACTCCTTGAAAGTAATAAACTTCTTCCCTTCGCATTTATGCATTTTGTTAGTCCGTCCTGCATCTATATAATTGCTCATACATCTTGTATAGCACCAAATCCCAGCCATGGCAAATGGAGCCTTACCCAGCATTCTCCTTGCACCAAAATTATGGGCCAATTCCACAAAAAGGCTGGTGAAGAAGGACATCTAAAACTTATTGACAAGGGATTGGAATATAATTTTGGATTGAATTTATAAAGAAGCTAACAAATGCGCAGTATAAAGCTGCTCAAGATAGTGTTCATTGAGTGACGCGTGGAATAGGGGCCTGTTGTAGACTAATTGATTTGGATGTATGAATGCCACGTTATAGTGCTTTCTTGTTTGTTTGTCTTCCATTTGTATGGTGTTACCATCATCTTTTATTCCAAAAATCCCAAAAAAGGGGCCGAATCAAGGAAAGTGGGTTTAATTTTTTGTAAGGGCTTTTTTGTTTTCTGAAAAAAATTAAGCAAAAGAAGACAGTCTTGAAAAAGAATTTTGTCTCACACTAAATCTGAAAACTGCATCACCTCACCAAATTCATCATGATATTAAAAAAAAAAGGAGGGAAAAAAGGCAAAGGTGCGAAAGGTTGAGGCAGAATCAACAAGCTATTGCCAACATACAATAGTAGCACTATGCTCTTCAAAGTATGTTTTGGAAAATGACAATTTAGCTTGTCTTCTTGTGACGAGGCTACATGCCTCCGTATGCGTTGGAGCCTCCCAGCAAATCTGCTTTTTTGGAGTTGGATCTTCATCATCACAACAACGCACTAGTGTCGCACGGTCGTTTTATATATTCGACGAAATTATATACTTGACGTGTCATTTTTCAAACTTTATGTAATTATTCTACTTATTAATCAGTAATAATTAAAGAATATATGCTCGTGGTATAGTGGGATTGATGAAATGTCGCCACTTGTCTTCTGAGTACACAGTAAACATTGTCGACATCAGAGAAGTGAGAACAAAGATTAAACCATTTCCAACTAGTTTGCATTGAGGTTTAAATTTTCAACGATTTATTTAAATGATGAAATCCTTTACATCTCGAATCAACTTGAGTTCATGAATGTTGTTACTTTCTACACACTAAAATATTTTAGATCTTGATATTGCTATTTTTACAAATGTTTGGTGTAAATTATGTTAGATTCTCATTTGCATTGCATACAGTTCGAGAAATAAAATTTATTAATTGTATGATTTAATATAAATATTATATTTTATTTACACTAATTTGTAAAAATTTTTGAAATTACATTTTTTTATGTGAAATACATTACAAGCAGAGGACATACAAACCAAGCAAGAGAAAAAAAGAAAGAAAAAAAGAAAATAAATTACATATTTCATTGAAATTACATTTTAGTGCATTGAATAACGAATAAATTATATTCAAGTATGGGCTGCACAACACCTTACTTGTCCTTAACTTCAGTGGCGGAGCCACGTTTGATTGAGGGAGGGCAAGTGCACCCTGTCAATTTGGCAAAAATTACAAGTATACGGTGAGAAATTTAATATTTTACACAATTACACTTTATATCTTTATATTTTACACTTACATCCTTAATCAATTATTTGATATCGCTCAAGTTTGATTAAGATCTGAATATATTAATTACAAATTTTTCAAACCCATAATAATTTAGTTTAAGCATGATAAATTTTAATACAAAATATTAAACTCTTACTATACATGAGATAACCTTCATAAAAAAATCATTATTTACTTTTTAATTAGAAAATCAAATCCAAATTTTTCACAATGATTTTTTTTCATTATTTACTTTTTATTTCTTGCTCAACAATATAATTTTAAAACATGAAATCACAAAATAATAATTTTTTGTGATTATTTTTCACCTCTATTATTGTAATATATATAATTATTTATCAATTATTAAATGTTTATTTTTATAATATTAATATTTTTAAATTAAATCGCACTCTTTGAACTAGGGTCCTAGTTCCACCACTGCTTAACTTGTTGCATAGCCTTGAAAGTACCCCCAACATTAAAAACAAATAATCAAGTTTTAGTCTAACACGATTTGAAATAACCAGGCAATTACTTGTCCGAGTTGAACCAAACCATCATCAAACCAAGGTTAGCTCAACAAGTAAACAGTAAAAAAAATTTGGATACTTAATTTTATATACTTAAAGTAAATTTTTTTAATCAAATCAAAAAATGTGAATTATATATATATATACAATATAAAATGATGTGTGCATCTTTATTCTTTTTTATACTGGACTTGGTAATATTTTCTTTTACCAACTTAACACCTACTTTAGCAAATCTAGTATGTAACCAGGTCTAATAAAGGAGGCAACAAATTCTTAAGAAAGAATAGTAATACAAATTAAAGGCAGATTTGGATAGAAACTAATTAATTAAATAGAAATAAAAGAAAAGTGTTGAAGGTGTTTTGGCAGGAAAGTAAGGAAAAATAGAGTCTGCAGAACTTCAACAAATACCAAAAATGAAAGAAAGTGAAAGGTATTTTCTGCAAAGTGAACAAAATGCTTCTTGGCCTCTCACATACACCCCTTCTTATTAGGCACTTTGTCTCCCCATCACCCAGCCATTTCACTATTCGTATTGCTTGTGTGTGGTTCCCCCCCCCCTTCTCTCTCTCCACGCATTCCTTGTGGGGATTCCTAATTTTTTTTCTTTATATTTTTACATAAAATCTCTTTATAATATTACTAATTAAACACAATATCATCATGTAATAGTTCTATTAATAAAATAAAATTTATTGTTATTGTTACTGTAAATACTACTTTGTTTTGAATTGGCAAGAAAGATAAAGTCTCAAAGTTCACATACGAGTTTTCAGGGGAAAAAAAAAAGAAATTTACATATGTACCCCTTCCAGTTTTTATTATAGCATTTTTTAAAAAGATTTTTTACTCTTTTATATAAGACATTTGATGAGATATTAAATATATTTTTTCAACATAGTCCCTATTTAAATTCATTAATTATAAGAGAATGCAATGCAAATTTAATTTTTTTTTCTTAAATGCGGGTAAAATTAAAAAATTATTTTATTTTCATATAAAATTAATAACCTAACTATTTTTTCTTGATTCTAGAGATAATTAAAGCTCTGTTTGGTTTGAGAGGAGAGGCCCTCCCCTCACCTCCCCTCCCTCCAACTAAATAGGCCCTCATGGTGTTTTATAATAAGGATAGGAAGAAGTAGGTCTAAAATTTATAACTCCTCGCAAATCATATGTTAACATGTTTCTTTAACAAGAATATGAATTGATCGAACAAAATATGTACTTTCGTTCTTAAAATGAGATGAAGTTATAGCAATTAATTTTTTTTAATTTTATCCCTTGTTTATTTATTACAATTAAATTCTTGAACAACAATTTATTATGGTTATTAATGATCAAGAAGGGTAAAACCAAAAAGTTGCATATTTTGAAAAAAAATTTTAATGATGTAATATAGGGAGATCACGTTTAAGACTTACTCAAGCAAATTATTAGCAGATAAGGATCAACATGAAATGAATTATTATTAAAATAAAAATATAACTTTTTTCTGTGAATGGGACTTGTTATTAATTCTTATTTATAAATAATTTATTTGAGTAGTCATTGAATGTGATTTTTCCTATAATATAACTATTACTTTTTAGTAAATGTGAAGTTCGTTAAGTTTGCCTTGTATTAAAGATTAGAAGGAGTATAGTTTTATAATATAATTAGTGATTCAATTTGCATAAAAGTTTGCCTCATGAAATGTATTATTCATGACCAAAAACATAAATGTACTAAACATTTTATTATATAGTATTAAATTGTAATTTCCTTTTGCTTAACATTAACTAGGCATTATTTTTGTGCTTTTTCCTGACTTTATTATGCTTGTTTTGGTCATAGCAATTGCATCAGGCTTGACTTTGAGGGAATTGCGTTGCTTTCCTTATAGTTCGAGCTAGGGCTGCACAAAGGACTGGACGGGATTGAACTTCAGCCTAATCCGAAGTCTGGTCCTTTTCATGAAAAGGACTAGGTTAAGCAACTCGTAATCCGGTCTGGTCCTGTGAAAACTTGGAGATTAACAGGATCGGACTTAGTCTATAAGAATGGGAGACTGGTCCTGTTAGTCCAATACTCACTTGACATTTTTTTTTCTTTTTTTTCTCTATGATAAGCAATAATCTATTTCAACCTAATAAACTTAATTAAGATAATAAAAACACTTATAATCATAATAAATTCATAATTCATAATGATTTCTAACATCAAGAAAATAATATTTCAGTTATAGTCCAAACTTCAAATGATTTAAATATATAACTTCAATAAAAACACTCAATAAAGTTTAACACTACATTACATTTTTCATGTAATTATCTCCTTAGCTTCAACAGAAATAAACTTAACAAATCTTTAAATAATTATCTCCTTAGCGTCAATAATACTTAAAGCATCTGTAAAAAAAAATCATATACACATATATAAAGTGATTAGTTAGTGTAAAAATGCAATATATACATTAAATTAAGAGATATAAAATTGAATATATTACCTGCAACATTAACCACATCGTCTGTTTCTTGAAAATTGTCAACCTCATAAAATATAGAAACAAACTCTGAGAGAGATTTCCCTGTAACTAGCCAATTCTGGGCACAAATGAGTGCTTCAATCATCTTAGGAGATAAAGAACTCCTATAATCATCAACAACACGTCCTCCAGTGCTAAAAACTGATTCAGAAGCAACTGTAGATACTGGTATAGCCAATACATCTCGTGCTATCAAGGAAAGAACTCTATACTTGGTAGAATTAACTTCCACCATGTCAAGATATCAAAATCATCATCATAATCATCAATAGGGGTGTCCTTAGATGTACTAGTAGGAAGGTATCTATCTAACTCTGATTGGGTATCAACTGATGAGCTTTTTTGCTTCTGGGGTGCTAACCATCTACGACCAGGGTCTTTTTTACCTTTACTTGCATTTGAAGTGTTAGTGTCAAGAGCACTTGAAGAGTTGATACTACCAGAACTGCTTGTATCAGGACCAATTGTTGTAGAGTATTCCTCAAATAGGCGATACAAAGTGTCTCTTGCCTTATTCTTCATGGACTTGCAAAGGTCAGGGGTAGGAAAAAGCTGATCAAATACATGATTGATATAGGCAAGCTTGTATCGAGGATCGAGAATCACAACAATAATCAACAAAGGGTTTAAATTATCTGCTGCCCCCCCAATACTTATCATACTTACTCTTCATGCTCAATGACATTTCCTTAAGAAGAGAGTCATCACTTTCAATATTCTTATCTAACAACTCTTGAATTAAAGCAATTTGATGGAAGCATGTATGTGCAGTAACTTTCAGTGTGCTAGAAAATTGCAAAGTGACATCATAAAACACCTTCAAGAACTTAAGAAAGAACCGTGCTTTATTCCAAGCTTGTTTGTTTGGAGGGCCATTACGCTTAGGAGGAGCTTGCCTAGAGTAAGCAAAAGCATCCATGTCGTCATCGGGTCTAGCATCTTGCCTATAAACATAAGCATCCATGCTACTCTCTAAATAAGAAAAGTCACTCTGAGCACGACGCTTTGAACCTTTGTTGAAGTAACTAACAAAATCTTCATCCTCATCCTCTAATCTTTCAAATGCCTTTTGAAACTTCAAAGCCACATCCAACATTAAATATGTAGAATTCCATCTAGTATTGACATCAAGGCAAACAATACTTTTTGTGTCCAACATTTTCAATTCACAAACATCTTTAAATCTTTGCAAGTGAGCAGGAGAGGAATGAACATATCTAATAACATTTCGAATGGAATCAAAAGTATCTTTCAACTCCTTCAACCCGTCATTAACAACTAGATTAAGAATATGTAGAGAACACTGTAGTTAAAGATAATCACCACCGCAAACAAGACCCTCCAATTCTTTAGACACCTTTTTAAGTAAGACAAGGCTGTGTCATTAGAAGTTGCATTATCCATAGTTATGGTGAACACATTTTGTATGCCCCAATCTGATAAGCACCTTTCAATTGTCTTTCCTATCGTATCACCTTTGTGATTCTCAACTATGCAAAAAATAAGAATCCTCTTATGCAAGTTCCAATCATTATCAATGAAATAGGCTGTCAAACATAAGTAATTGAAGTTTTGAACTGATGTCCAGCAATCTGTAGTGAGGCAAAGACGATTAGTACACTTCTTCAACAAATTTTTCAAGATTCTAATTTCACCAAGATACAATTGCCAGGCATCTCTAGCCACTGTTGTTCTTAAAGGGATTTGAAATCGTGGTTCTAACTACTTCACAAACTTTTTAAAGCCTTCCTTCTCAACAAGCCTAAATGGCATCTCATCACATATGATAAACTCAACTAGAGCCCTACGACATCGTTTCTGATTGAACATGTGAGGTACTAAGCTTCCCTCTTGTCCACTTGGTGTCACACAATTCAACATCAATTGCTTTGTCATTTGTGTAGCTTTATGTGGATTATTGGAACATTTTGGTATATGCCTCTTCAAGGATGTTAAACCATGCTTGCCTGGGTCACAAGCATAATTTAAATTACAGTACTTGCATGTAGCTCTAACTTCTCCATTTGTCTCCTCCAATGGTAACTTAGTAAAGTGTTCCTACACTTTTGACACCTTTCTTGTAGAATTCTTTTCTCTTTCTACTACCTTCTGTAGCTTAACTTTCAATTACAGTTGTCAAAAGAGGAGGATATTCCATAGTAGTTGGGGGTTGAGGTGGAGGAGTAGGTGTCAAAGATGGTCCAAAAGGAGTTGAACTCACATTTTCACCAGTGAAAGGAGACGATTAAGGTTGGTCAATATGGGATGTTTGCTCAATATCCATCACTTCATAATGATAAAATATAATTGACAAGTTATAACAGCAAAATGATAAAAAGGAAGCAAAATGGACAAGTTATAATAACACAAAATCATGGCAGGGAACACAAAAGCCAAAAAATAAGAGCACATAATTGATAAGGTGATTACTAATAAAAATCATCCCATAGGAATGTCCTTCTAATAGAGCAACACAAACATGGGGAAAAAACTTTAAACAACTTCTAAGGCAAGTCAATCCAAATCTATGTAACAAATTTTAATCCATATTAAACAACTTCTAAGGCAAGTCAATCCAAATTTTAATCCATATTAAACACATAAATGAATTTGATAAGCACGTTGCAAAGGCACAACAAGACTATCTAAAAATGATAATAATCGATTTTTATTTCTAGGTAACTGAGCAAAAACATCACTAATACAAATAAGAAGTATCTCAGTGCCTATCCAAACTGCAGTAAATATTCAAGTTATAAATATGAAGAAATTTCTAATACATTTGAATAGCCTGCCTTGGATTTCAATTATACTCATTATACAAGGCTTAGTAGTCATTAGCTGATTTCTATCAAATACAATGATTTTAAACAAAAAAAACAAAATACATGCTTATCCCACTGCTCTACGCATGCCTGCTACCCATGCTATTTCTTATTAGAATTAAGCACCATAGAGCTCAGTTAAAACAACTTTCTCCCAAAAGTATCAGATTGGATAAAGAAACAGAGAGAAGTAGGAAAACTAGCACCTTCACCACATTTTGACTTTTGGGGGCCCACTCAAGCAAAATCAATAACCCACGATTTTTGTGCATAATTTAAACAAAACCCATCAAAGTCTTTACCTTCTAATTGATGTTTTGATACAAAAGGTTGCAGTAAACCATGTCTAAAAAAAAATACAATTGGAACACAAGAAAACAAAAATAATAATATATCTATTCCCGTAAAGGGAAGGAAATTGAAAGTATGTAAGGGAAGTGCAGAAATATACTAGTGCGCAATGATCCGCTCACGATAACCTCTTCGCTTGTCGTCCGGGAATTGACGAAAAACCTAGCGGAGCAACTGAAGCTGAAGCAGGTAAGTATGATTTAATTTGAGGGAAAGAAATTCAAATTTGTGTGAATTTGGCCCATTCAAAGCAGGTAAGTTAATCCAAATCTGTGCCTTTGAATTAGAGGTTAGGGGTAATGGAGAGCAGGGGTGGGATGATAGTGTGGCGTGCTCAACGGTGAATCAGATGCGAGAGGTGATGCCGATAATAGATGGACCGACGTGATTAAAGCAGAGCAGCGGTGGGTAGGACTACAAGAGAATGGCTTGAGCGAGAATGAAGAGGGAAGAGCAAGGGCTGGCGACGTGATTGACGATGGTCAGAGGTGGCATACGGGAGGAGGTGGGGGCTGGGGCTTCAGCGCATTAGAGAGTGGAGAAACTAAGAATGAGTTTTGTGGATTGAGACTCGAGTAGCTACGCCTGCGTGTTGAAGCCTGAAGACTGAAGTGAACCTGATTAGCTGGATATCTGATGCAGTAATATGACTTTTTTTTATTTGACGTGTAAATGCAAAACTTATTAATTAATAATTTATAAATTATTTTTAATTATATTAAAATAATTATATAGGACCAGACCGGACCACTTAGTCCAGATGCATGGTCTCTAGTCTGGTCTTACCTGAAAAATTAGTCCTATTTTTTTTTTGGTCTTTTTAGTCCTATAGGACCAATATTTTATAGGACTGGACTAGATCGAGTTTTCACCAGTCGGACCGGGTTGGACCAGACTACGAGACTTTTGCACAGCCCTAGTTCGAGCTTTGGGATTGGATTTGAAGCCATCAAAATTTAAAAATTATGCCCCCGCCCCCAATATATTTTTATAAGAGATATTTAGAAGAGAAAATTAAAAAAAATACTCCTACAATATACAAATTATAATTATATATCACAAATTGTGATAATTATTTGTTAGTTCCTGTGGAATCGCATGCTATTTTTGCTTTTTGGTGAAATGATATATTTGGCCCCATAAAGAAGATCATTTATCTTGCTAAACGAGTGACTATTTTGTTTTGAGAAATCACTACTTTGAAAAAATGATCAGGACAAAATAGAAAATACATGTGACTGTTTGGAATTATTTTTATTTTATTATTTTAAAAATTAATATTTTGTAGAACATATTCTAAAAATAAAAAATAAAAATAAAAATATGTGCTTTTTCATTCTCTCTTATTCTCTAGAATAATAACTCCAAAACACTTGAAAGATATTTTTATTTTTTTATTCTCCAAAATAATATTTTATTTTATTTTTATTCTTTAAAATATTTTTTAAAAACACGTTATCAGATTTTGTTTTGTTTTTTTAAAATAAAAAATTATTCTCTGAATAAGTTACCAAATAAATCCCAGGTTGCTTTATGCAAATTTTTTATCAATAAAGTCTAATAACAAAAAAATTCAGTTGCTACTTTTTTGGACAATGACTACTTTTCTGGGGAAATGACTAAGATGAAATATCAAATTATAAGTTGTTTGTGCAAATTTTTTTATTAGTGAAGTTCAATAATTAAAAATTAGTTACTATAATTTTTTTTTGAAACTGACTACTTTTTTTTTTGGAGAAATGACCATAGTGAAATAGCAAATTACAAGTTGCTCTGTATAATTTTTTTTATTAGTGAAGTCTAACAACTAAAAATTAGTTGTTTAGTAAATTCATATGTACTCTTATATAATAATGATATAGATATTCTATCCCTAATCTTTATTATAGGGCATCTGCTAGAAAGATTTTTTGATCATTAATATAAGGCACATGAAGAGTTATTTAATACCATTTTTTAATTTATTCCTATTGTAAATTCAATTTTATGAGTCATTGTACACTGAATATCTCTCTTCCTATTTTTAGTAGTAGTAAAGCTAGAAAAAAAATTTAAAACTTGTTTAATGAATTAATTGTTAATTATTGATTTTCCATAACATTCCTCCCTTTCTCCCTATCATCACCCCTCCTTTGGAATAAATGCCCATCTCTTAATTAATTACTGTTTACTTTTTTCGTAATTAATTGTACATTTATATTGTACTTTTATTCCCTAATGTAATGGTGCCATAATTATTTATTTGCATGTGGCTTTTGTGGTCCTATTTGTGTGACGCTCGCCAACTTGGAGAAATTATGATGCTTGTTTTCTTATGCCATTTGTGAACCTGACAAAGGTTTTAAGTTTTAAGAGTATGATGCATATAATTAGTAAATTTCTATTCTCAGATTTATTTAGCTCCAATAACTTTTATCAGGTTAGTGTTTAAAATAGCAGTAATAATACCATAAATTCGGACAGTTTGACCTATTAATTGTGGAGAGCTGCATTTTCCTAGGTCCAAAATTAGCGCTTCTAATTATTCAGCCATCAATTATTAAAATAGAATTATAATCTCAATTCTAAGCAAAAATTACCAAACTTAGTCTTAATCATATGCAAAAGCCACGTCAATTTTAAGTGTAATTAATTAATACTTACTCTATTTAATAATAGAAAGCATTTTCCAAAAGTGATGTTAATTTAAAAACCATTAACTGACGTGTTGGAAGTATAATTCAATTAAATATCTATTATATTTTGGAACAAAAGAAGTATGCAATGTCCCCTAGAATTATCCTCACAACAACTCGAACAAAGAAATAGTTGTGGTAGTTAAAACTCGCTTAACAACTAAAGAAGGTACCAAATGAATTTAAGATCAACCATTGTTAGTTAAAACCCTTAAAGTTTAATTTAAAAAAATATTTTAGAGTAAAATGGGATCCCAAAAAATAGTTTTAATTTGAAAACAAATAGTTAAGGCCCTACAAATATAAAA